GACCACTGGAGTGCCTAGTCCAGTACTGATGGTGTCATTGCAACCTAGCCAGAGAAGACAGTGCTAGACTTGGCTAGACAAGAAGCTGCTCATCAGTGTATCTTGCTCAGAAATCGCAAGTATTTCACTCTGATCAGAGATCACAACTGCAGAAACTGATTTCTTTGCTGTGCAACCAGGACTCTGGGAATTTGTTCCTTTGCAATGTTACTTGAATTTTTATTCAAAAGCCATCTACAACCATTTAATTTGCTGTAGTCTATTCACAGTAATTAATATTGGCTATAATTAGGGCTATGCAAGGGTTCTCTGATCTGATTTGGAGGCCAATTCAGGGCATACAAAGAGACCTCAGTTTGGTCCAGAGTGACCTGTGTCCCACCCAATTTTACTTGTTCCCCAGAACTGAGTGGATTTTCAAGCATCTTATCCCCTTGCATTGGAAACCAAAACAGCTACAACATATGTGTTTTTGCATTGATGTACATGAGATCCGGAGACATGACAAATCTCAAAGAGGGGAGTACACTATGCCAAAATTCCAGCAGCAAGCTTCAACGTTTGCATATTAGACACCTTTAAAACTTGCTTTTTAAACGAAGTTTGGGGTGGAGGAGGCTGAAGTGACTTGTGGCCTAGCTAATTTGGTTTCTGCTCCAGATGCAAATCAACTTGTAAATTTGCTTTGTTTTATCCCAGAACTGAATCTGGCCAGTCAAATTCAAACTCAATCCTCATATGATTCAGCCCAATTTAATCAGAAATTCACAATTTATCCAAATCTGTTACACAGCCGGTGCTGTAATGAGTTGCCTCTTATTGGTATCTCTACTGCTGGATTCTTGTGTCACTTATTATGCTCTTGGAATTTTTAACGGTCCCTAGATATGGTTGTTTTGTACGACGAACAGGTGCCCAGTGCTGCCTAGCTTTGCTTCCTCCAGTGGGCATCCACTCAGAGGCAGTGCCTGGAAGCGGTGGAGCAGGGAAGCCAGGGCACTGCTTCTGACTGTGTACCCACTGGAGAAAGTGGGACTGGGAACCGCCAAACCCGTTTATCCGAAGGTCAGACCAGCACAAACTGCCAGCTGGCAGTTCGTGCCGATCTCTAACTGTTATTTATTGCTCACCCTCAAAAAGATTTGACAGATTACCAGCAAGGCTATTATAGTGGGAAAACGGACTATTAATATTTGGAAATCATGAATAAAATAGGTGAATTGGTGACTTAATGTAATGCAGCTTTGCATGTTTATGCAGGAAACAGAAGCCACTTTGCTGAATGCTTCTTATATTTTTTTCAAATTGTCTTCTCACCATGAAAAGGGCTAGAAACCAAAGTTTCATTGAAAGGAAGTGGAGAGAATGCATTTCAGGAAATAACAAGCCCTGGATCAAGAAACAGGTTTGTATATGTGAAGATCCAAGACGAAAATAATACAGCACTTAAGTATGACTTCACTGTACAAGGAAGAAAATTCTTTGTATTCCATATTCCGTGCATCTGTCTGGAAGCTGTTGAACTGCAACATGCACATCTTAGCTACCATAGCCAATCGTAAGAGGGAATGGGAGACGCAGGCTAGTAATAGTAGGGCCACACATTCCCCATTGCTGCCCGATGCCCATATCCCCATCAAAAGCTACATCTAGATGGTTTAATAATTCATAGAGTCACGTTTCCCTCACTGAGCTACAGTGAAATATAAAGCAAGATATATACTGTATCAAGGATAGTCAAATCCCAACATTCCCCTCAATAGATTATGCTATGCTATT